GAAGCATTAAGTGGCACGATTGTTCTGAGGTGATTTAGCTATATCTTCCTGCCACTAAATGAATGTGTCTGAGTGTTGAGCTGTCAGAGGCTGATAGAGAGCTTGGCTCTGCCTGGTTGTTGGGTCTTTCAGCACCCTTCTTGAGCCTTTCTAGTCTGGACCAGCATTGTTTGTGGAGAAGAAAGCTATCAGAGGATCTGCACAAGATTAGGTTTGCCAACTGTTCCCTTTGCGCTTTCCTGTTTTGCCGCAGGAATTCTATCAGCCAGTGCAAAATAGAAAAGAAAAGACATAACTGAAGAAAAACGTCTGACATAGTTAATCCTTTCCTCTCAGCATGAGCCTTATTAGAAATGTAAAAGTTCTCTTTTGAAGCTCTATGTTAAATGTTTCCATCAGACACTAAGGTTCCTCCACATCCTGGTTTAAGGAATAGTTATGAGATTTTAGAAACATGCTGATGTTAGATGAGGAGATTCTTATGTGTGCACAGAGCTCCTGCTTTTCAAATGAACAATTCATATTTTTACAGTTTGGTACTGAAAGCTGTGTTTTCAGTTCCTATTAATTTTTTGTCTTTATCCTGATCTAACTAAGCTGGAGACAAAATTTCCACATAACCATCAGGAAAACTGCGGATAAGCATATTTCCCCCAATTTTGAACTGTTTATTTTCATAGTATGTATTTGGATTTGGTGTCATTTGTCATACATTTGTAAGACATGATGTGCACAACTAAGCTGCCCCAACTCTTTCCACATTCTGACTTCCTGTCATTCAAATCCACCTGATGTATTTTCTGTCTTTGCCTTCCCAAAATCTTTTCCTGCAGTGCATGCATCCCTCCTGTCTTTCTCTTTCAGCTTACCGCAGTTCTCTGCCTCATCTTTTCCTTTTCTCCCCCGTCTTTCAGGTTCTCTCCTCATTTTCACCCTCATACACCTCCTCCTCCTCGTCTCCTTTCCCTCTATCTAAATTGCAAATGGCAGCAGTGCTGACTGCCAGAGGAGCTCCTCAATGTCATTAGAGCTGACCCTGTGGATTAACTAGAGGAGAGAGGCGGTGTGTAGAAACTACAGATCAATAACGCGGCTTATCCTCTGGGTTCTTTTACTTCACTTTGGATTTAGGTCTGAATTACTGAAATGTCTGCTCTCCTCTTGAACAACAAACAACGGGGTTACATGTAGCCAAAACAGAAATCATTTCAGAAATCAAGATTGTGAGGACATTAAAGTGGTGAAATGTAACAAGAAAAAAGAAGAATCACAAGCAAATCCACAATTCGAGCTCATGTAAAACAAAAGAAAACAGTCTGCAATACAGAAACTTTGATAATGATGGAAACATGTTGCACGAACCAGCTGACGAGATCAGAATACCAGCTGCTGTGTGGTTTAACTAACACTTCGATGTGATATCTCAGAGATAAAAATATGGATAGGCAGATGTGTGCGCAGCCATCATACTACGTGTGGTTGATTTACTGAGTTGGCAGGAAAAGTCAAGTCACCATGAGCTCAACTAAACCTGATAGGTGCCCTTATCAGAAACTGCTAAGCCTATTATGAATGGTCGTGTGTGCTAGTGCACTCAAGCAGTACACACACACACACGCGCATGTGAAGATCTGAATCAGCAGATCATGTTGCTACAACTCTCTAGCGTAATAGCAAAATGTGCCAAACACTCATTCACTTTAAATTTCCAGATTCACAACAACCAGGTAACTTTTACTACACTGCATCAACTCTGAGAAGACTCGTTGCAGGACTTCAGATCATTCACTCTGTCATTCAGGTCTTTTTGACTCAAAAATCTGCTTTGAAGATAAAACAGGTAAAGTGACTATATTCTCCCAAACATTTCAGTTTGTCTGTCAGCAATGTACCTGCGTAACGACACGATTTAAAACCAGTGTCTTGCTAATTTATCTGTTTTGTGTGGTTCAGTTTGTCAAGTTAGGTCTGAATGGTTCACTGTTTAGTGTTTAAGTATCTTAATAGACAAAAACCATCTTTCCAGAAATGATCAGGTACAAGGACAGGACTGAAAATGAGTGAAAAATAGAAAAAAGACCAAATCTAATGTTGTAAACAAGTTGCAACCTTGAAATAATAATTAACTGTAAACAGTAAAATAACTACTAGCTAAAGTTAATGAACTAATTTACAGTTTAAAATGGCTCCGTGAGATTTTATCTTTTATTTTGTCCAACAAAGGTAAACAAAAGCAGAGGAGAAATGGTTCCTGTGCTTTATATGTTATCTTATCCACTAGCTAGACTTGGTGCTAGTGTTAAAGGGATTGTAATTGTTAACAAAACCAAAGTTCTTCTGCAACAGCTGGGATCTTGAGCTTTCCACAAGTGGCGTCTCCCGCGCTATTGCAACAGTAAATTCTTTCCATTGTTTATAAGCCTGGAGTCTTTGAGTGGTTGAATAACAGACATCATTAAAGTTTGTTGATTAAACCGACCTCTGCTTTTCAGCTCGTCCTGTTTTAAAATGCAGCTGAAGCGCTGTCTTGATGTTATGATCTAAATATTGCAAACAGTCTTGTCAAACATTTACATTTATAAAGGCCCGCACACACACACACACACACACACACACACACACACACACACACACACACACACACACACACACACACACACACACACGCGCACACCTAAAACATATAACATAAACCATAAAATAAATGTTCAGGCCTTTATAATATTGGCACCAGACTGGAAGGTCGGTTTAATGAAAGATGTTCTTAGTAACTTCTCTAAACTCGATGGTAAAATGTGTTCTACTGGCAGCGTTGAACAGTTAATGTGAACGGTTATCTGTGTGGGGTAGTCTGTGATCGCTGTCAGTCACTTGTATATGTTTTAACATCCTGTATATATGCACTACAAAGCAGCAAGTCTCTTACACATAGTGATATTTGGCTGCCGAAATCACAAACTCCCGTAAGTCCTTTGCACTGCATGTTGTGGCTCACTATACTCTCCATTGAAATTAAAGAGGCTGCTGACTGGTCTATTCCCTTCTCAAAAGTGGCAAGCGAGCAGGTCTGAAAAGATATGTGTCCAGGTTAACTTGTGCCAGGAGTTTTTAAATGTCGTGAGCTGTCAGTTTTAATGGGTCATTATCTTCATTTTATGGCTGTATTGTGTACTATAAACCCATCAAAGGGGAGTTAAAACACTTCTTATTAAAGCATAACACAGTAAAATGCCACTGCAGCTTATTCAGTGAGTAGTTCTGAAATAATTGATTTCCACATAATGGAAACATGACATTTGGGTTTTGCAATGGCGAGTGATGTTGTCAGTATGTTTTTGTATAATAATGCATGGCTTTACAATATATGATAGAGTGCCTCAATAAAGTATGGAGTGCCATCTAGTGGTGTAACAATTACACATTGTTAAAAGGTCAGGCTAGTTCAACTACAGTCATGTCAAGGAAAGCCTGCTCTCTTTCAGTTCTCGATGCAAGACATTAAAAAAGCGAAGTACAAAACATGACATATCACACCATGTTATTATTTATTTAACAGAAACTGAGCCAAAATTCAGAAGCAGCGTGCAAAAAGCTAAGTACACCCTTACTGCTTTCATAGGAATTAAAAGGGTAAGTAGCAGACAGGTGGTGCTAATCAAATGCCAACTGATCATCAGCAAGTGTGAGCACATCTAAAGCAGGGGTTTTAGCAGTTTGTGGGTCTGTGTTAACACAATGCCAAGCAGGAAAGACATTACATTGTTACTGCACATCAATCTGGGAAGTGTTGTAAAAACATTTCCAAACAATTTGAAGTTAATTATTCATAAGTGAAAAATATATATATAAAACATTCTTCAGTGTCAAACTTGCACTTCAAATTTTGATTAATGTTCATCATTAAGAAATATACTTGCTTTGAAATATGAAAGTGTAAGTCTCTTAACAACCTTGATGATGATAGTTTTTTCTAAATGTTTCATTGTGGATACAGTCTGTCTCCTCTTATAATAAGAGATCACATTTAGATTAGAAAAACACAGTTAATTAGACAGATGAGAAAAGCAGTACCTCGAGGCCAAAACGTTATTTTGAAGCATGGAAGAGGAAGAAAAGCAAAAGGGAAAAAAAGGGATTTGGTTGTGTAACCCAATAATACCTGTGTAGACAGATGATTTTATATTATATACAGTGCTCAGAAAATTCACAAAGCCTTCTGTCAGAAACACAGGAAAACATAAATATTTTACAAAAACTTTATATTGTTATTTACTTACTATTTTTTTTTCAGCTTTTGTAAAAATGTTAACTTAAACAACAAAACAAAACAATAATTGTAACACAATAATAATAATAAAAAAATAAAAATAGATTAAAAATATATAATTTTGATTAAACAGCTGGAGAATACTGGTGTAGTTATTTTGGATATTACCAGTACTGTTAATTTATGTCAGCTGTGGGGCATAAGCATTGGGTGGTGCTCTAATAAATTGGTTGTACTGTGTATTATAACTGTTTCTTACAGTCTCCAGTTTGTCAGAAGAATGCTATCAATGGAAACCAATCTAATTTAATTTTTAAAAAATAATCTACATAAGAAATAAACTATGTAATGTAAGGAAAGATCCATCAAATAAAATAAATTAAGTAATTGAATAATAATAAATTAAATAGTCGTAAATTACAATCAGTGATATTTCCATAAGAAAAAAGTTAATCACACATAAGTTAATACATTACAGCAACACGTCAGGGATGTTACAGCTTCATAAATATGAATATTTATCAAAACAGGCTCAACTCATATTTACTAAAAGTAGATTAGTTACTTTCATGTAAAAACAACAACAACAACAAAGGTGGTTGTGAATATCTCAAATGTAAAAGTAACGGGAGCTAAATGGAGAACGAAAAGCGACAACTTTAAAATGCTTTTTTTTTTTCATTTCGACGGATCCACGGAGGTCACGGAATACTTGACCCGTGACCCCGCCCAATGTCAGGGCGATCCCCCCGGAGTAACGTGTCGCCTACGCAGTTTTATTTTTGTTGATTAGAAAAAAGTTATTCGATTCGGCTGTTCTCACTTTCTGTCTGATTGCATTTATCAGACGTATTAAACTTTTTCTTTCCTGTAAGACTTGTCTTTAGTTTTGTTTCTCTGCGATGTTCGAGCAGACAATCCGAAATTTCAAAATCAATTTTATCAGGCACGATGGACGAAATAGTTTTTCCAGTGGCGACCAAATCATAGGTCACATCTCTTTTGATCTGACAAAAGAAACAAAGATCACTTCAATAACAACGAGGCTGAAGGGAAACGTGAATGTGCACTGGACCGCCGGAGGAGGTGGAGGGAAACAGGAAACGAGGAAACGTTACTCTGCAAGGCTGGACTTCTTCGACTTAAAAGGAGTTATTTTGCAAGAAGACAGGGGTATGCTGTTACTGGTGCTGTTTGGACGCAGTGATACATGGCAAACAAACAGTCACTGTCTTTGTCCTTTTCTTATAGTTACTCGTGGGACAAAACTTCAACTCGGGACGCATGTGTATCCGTTCACATGTCAGCTCCCACTAGGGTGTGTATGACCATTTAAAAGGGCATTTTGTATTTACTTGAGTTATATTTGTCTGCTATTAAATTTGATTGCCGATTTGAAAAATGCAAGTGTGACAATTATGCAAAAAGCTAAGAAATCAGGAACTGTAGATTTAACTTAAGTAAAGAGCCACTGTTAAAAATGAAGGGATTTTGGTAGATATAAGATAAGAATGGGCCCTTGGTTTTTAAAATCCAAAACCTACAACTTGTGTTGTAGTTCAACCTTTTGATTCATTAACATAATGCTTACTTTTATTGTTTATTGTAAAACTGTTGAATTTGTATGCGCCTGAATCACTTTTTTTTCTATCTTTTCTATTATTTTGCATCCCAGAAACTTCCCATCGTCCTTTCATGGGGTTCACGGAAAAATAGCATATACCTTGACAGTGGGCATTAATAGACCGTGGCGTATGTCCAAGGACTTTGTGACAGAGCTTAAGTTTGTAAACCACATTGATACCAACCAGCCAGGGTTGAATGTAAGTGGTGCATTTTCAGATGAATCAGCTGAGGAGTCCTTGTTTTTGTTGCAGTGTCTGCAGTTTCTCTGTAATCAAACTGATATTTCTCACAGGCCTCCCTAAGTACACCTTGTTCGACTAATTGTCCCAGGAATCCTTTTAAGTGAACCAAAATTTGAAATTACTTGCCACACCTATGTTTTTCCTGCATTCACAACTCAATATGTTGACTTTGAAAAAGCTCTGCAACCCCAGGTTTGCTTTGTTGTACTTTCATTCAACCCTATGGGAGCAATTATTGTACAAGAATGATTCAGAGTTGTCTAACTGCATTTAGAGACAATTTACATCTTTAAAATCTGATTATGTTCCAGTCGTAACCAACACAGACTGAATGACCACTATTATATTGAACCTTGTATTGTGCTTCAGTTGTTCATGTTCTCAGACGTATTTTTCGAATAAATGGACACAAACCAGACTGTACACAAGCTCTCACTTCTAATAAATGAATCCCACCGAGGCTCTGAGTAACTATGGGACCAAAAGTGATGAATTTAAGATTTTTGGGGTTTTTTTTGTTACTGTAACTATAGCGAATGTTGGATATGTTTGGAGTTTTATACGGTTCCACCATGCAATGCCAAAGGAACCTGAGCTGCTACTGCAAATATGCAGTGAAACAGAGAATGATGGGATTGCTCCATTTCTTCATATTATTCTAAAGCCATTGTTTGATTGATTTGGTCCGCTGATGCTCATTTTGTGCAACTTTTTCTGCATAAGAGTAATAAATAGGTGTTGATTTCTCGTAATCCCAAAACCAAAACAGTGTAGTATTGGTATATTACACTTTTTTTTAATTTTTTTTTTATCTGTGGCACTATCAGTGTGTTGTTTTTCTGCAGGCGCCACTCTCAGGTTCAAACAGCGTGACACCGTGTAGCTTGTGGTGTAACTCCAGTCCCGTCACTCTGACAGTTAGTGTAGCGACGAAAGCTTTCACCCCTGGTATGGTTTCCATCCATCAGATAATCGTTTTATCTGTATAATCAATAATAATAGCTAAGTTTGAAGAATTTGATTGAAATAACTTGCCACTTTGTCTTTTCTTCCACTAGGCGAAACAGTGAAAATATTTTGTGAATTTAGTAACCCTTCATCTAAAACAGCTACTCCGAAGGTGAAGCTGCAACAGAAACAGACTTTCTACACCCACAGTAAGCGCAACAGGAAGATGGCTATCAAAACTTTGGCGTGTGTGTCAGGAGAACCTGTTGGTGCTCAGGTTTCTTATGTACGCACTGAGATCATGCTCGCTATTCCCTCGTCTGCATCTTTAACCATCTCAGAGTGCAGCATTCTGGTTGTTGATTACATTATTGAGGTTAGTACCTGTGATGGGTTGAGAAGTCATGGATGTATTGATAATCCAGTTTACCTCAGCTGTTCAGACAGCAAAAGCCTGTTTGGATCCATTTCTTTTTTTATTCATTAAAATCTAATGAGCTTCTGTTTTTTGTTTCCTGCAGGTTAAACTCCACGTAGGAGCATTGGATGAGGTCGTTGTGCTGTTTCCAATCATCCTGTGTGATGCCCCCGTGCAAACTTATCCCCCAGTGTGATTGTAAGTAAAATTTGTTTCTACTATTACAAGATAATAATACATGATGCAGAATGGTATGATGTTGCATTGGGGGTGGCCTTTTTTCCACTTGTGAGTTTTAAATGTTCACAGCTTAATGTCGATTTAATATTGTATTAAAATGTCTCCCTTTTGGTCAAAATGCAAAACATCATCTGTGCACCGCAGTCTTGACGAATAAGGCAATAACAATAACTTGGGGAAGAAGAATTATGCATTGTCATGAAAAAAAAATCTGTGTTCACAGTACTCAGGGGTTAATCTGACAGAATTCATTGAGGCATTTAAACATTTACTCTTCAGTGTTGTCACAGTATGCTGTGTGTCGATTAGAGAGCGATAAGGACCCATAGTTTCAGACACAGATGGTAGAGCTTCATAGAAAAAGGTGAGCCATTTATTTGAATTGGTACAAAGTTCAATAAACAAAATAACAAAGCCCAAAAATTAATAAAAACATAAATCTAGTAAGACCATGAAGATATTCAAAAAACAGAAATCAAAGGAGAACACAGATGACTCAACAATGATGAGACTGTATATACATACAGGGGCTTGGTTAGGAATTGAGGATGGCAATGAGGAGATAATTAAGACATTTAAACACAAAGCAAAGCTCACAACAAGACACAAGAGGAAGCGAGTTAAATAGTTCGAATAGCAACATAATGGTTTGATTCCATCCCTACAAACCTGTTAGTTGTTTTTTTTCTCAGTCTAACTGTAAATAAACTCTGGAATTAATTGCAAACCAAATTTTAATCTTAACTTTATAGACAATATTTTTTGAACATATTTTTTTAAAGAAATTAGTGAATGTATTTTATTTCATAACATATAGCACATATACCATGAGAAAAATCTACTTTTACCTCAGCATTGACTTACAGCGAGCATGATATTTTCACAAGCTTTTCATTTTTCCTTTGTGCAGCAACACAGGGTGTTTTTGAGGATCCACATGGAGCATATCACCACTGCTCTTCCTACACGTGTTACTGTTCATATGCCATTCATATGTTGATGACATGCAGTTGTACATGTTAATTTCCTCTGATGACCTCGATGCATCTTTCATTTTATCTTAACCATTTTTTTTTTTACCTGTTTACCTTTTTACTTTAAATGACTTAGATACTGTTTGTGCTAGAGACAAATTGTAAACAGTTTACAGTTTCTTTTAGTCTGCTTCACAGCTTCCTGATATCTGGTGTATTGTAAACGATACACCAGATATCCCTGTAAACTGGGATATCTGGTGTATCATTGAAGCACAAAGCATTCACAAGCTACTGCTGTCTGATCACCGATAGAAAAATCAGAAAAGTTGTTTGATGAATTGGTTAATGAAGATGATACAGCCTATCACCATTTGAGTAGGCATAAATAATTAAAATATTTTGCCAAATATGACTGGCTATACTAATTATGTGTTACCTTAACTTTACATTTTCATGTTGATAGTAGATTGAAGTAATACACTCAAAATCCTTTCAGTAGTCAATAGAGCACCTTTATGCTTGTGTTCCTAGTACGGCGATGACTTACTCATTTATTAAATCCCACTAAGGCCTTTAAGGTCATCAGGCAGAGGTCTTGTAACAACACTCAGAATAAGATCCAAATCTGGTGCGGGTGGTTTCAGCACTCGCTCTTACAGAACTTCAAATATATTCCCACACCTGTGTCAGAAAACTGTGTATATTTGTATGCTTTTATGTGTCTGTATGTGTGTTTATGCTTGTTGTACAGTTTATTACATGTGTTATGTGTTTTGAGTGTTGTGTTTGATGTACATCAGGTTTATGCTTTATAATCTCATATATGCCACTTTTAAAAAAAATCATCCCTACAGCCGTCTGTTACCAATTTTCACGTTATTGTGAATGTATTTGTATAAGGTGTGCTGTACTGCAAAGCTGCCATGGTGCGCATTGGCTAGACGCGACGTCACGAGTCACAGCGTATATCACTGCATTCGGGTGAAGGTCAATAAGTGTTGGTGTAAGTTTAATAAAATCCTTGACCTTTCCATCTCTGAGAAAATATGTGGTGGCTGTCAGAAGTTTAATAAATCATACTATGGAGTTTCTAACACTAAATTTTCATGGAGAGAGCCAGTATAGACTGCAAGACTGGAGGAGAATAGCCAGGTAAAGGATGTTAAAACTGGAAAGTCTTAGAATTGGAAATCTTTCTTTCCATCTACATGATGTGAATAGTCTGTGGCGAAGTTTTTCATCATAGTGACTGAAGAAAAAGGAGACTTGTGTAACAGTGTCATAGTCCAGTTTTGGACAAATTATCAAATTTATAAATTTATATGTACATATTCACAAACGCTGCATGTTATATTGTCATCATTTGCATTTCAACTGTTTATAAAAATAAAAACAATTAGTAGAACGTGTGTGTGTGTGATGTATTTCTTACTCTTAAAGATGATGTGGTGTATCTTGATGGTAATATTTGGGCCAATGATTAGGTCAGTGTATCTACAAGTAATCACTGTAACATTTTGCCTCTTGGGTCTTTGTGATGCTGGCAAGAAGGGATACTCATAATGTGGTCATCCCAGGAGACATCCAATCAGAAGATAGCCTGCTTAAAGGGAGGGTTGTCTACACAGTAGAAATAATAGATTTTACTGCTTATAAAGATTATTTTTAACTTTGAATTAAGCAAAGGAACTCCAGTGCAAAGTTAGAATAAGGAGCTTGTTAAACAAAGATGGATGGGAAAACTACCAAAAGTGGCTTAAGAGTCGGGATAAAGTCTGGATGGATTTGATTCGAACGAGCAACTGTATTTCAAATATATGCTTAGAAAGTTTATTGTACCTGTAAATCAACATAATATTTAAACAAAGTGGACTCAGCAGAAAAGGTTTCACTTCTTTTTATTTTATTCTGTCTGATTTCACTCATTTTCTTTGTGCAACATTTTCATTTATTATGACTAGAACAACATCAGTAAACAAAAAGCAATAATGAAGCCACTCAATTTAAATCGTGGGAATTCAAAACAAAAACAAGTTTGTCTCCGGAAAAAGAGGCACATGCAACGAAATGTTTAAGTTCAAAAAGAACAAGCCTGCGTGGTTCACAACTACTATTGTCAGCATCATGGAGCTTTTATTTGGCCTTTCTTAGGTTTTAGGTAAAAAGCTGACAGGCCACACTGCTTTTAAATGTAGTATTTAGCTCTTAGTGAATTTGCATATCAGTGCTAGTCAAATTAACAACAACAGCAACAACAAAACTATGCATAAATCAGTACATTCTTAGGGAAGCATGATTTATTGGGGTCATATTGTTTAATTATTAATTAAACCCAAGTATCTATCAGCAAATTCCTTCCTCATCACCTGCTCATAAAACCTCCATCCTCTCCGTCTCACGTATCACTTTATTGTACCGGTAGTACTGAGTAGGATGTTATGCCAAATAATATTAAGACCTCCTCAGCGGGATATAAGCCCCAGAAATAAAAGCAATTCTTTCAACAATAGTGATTTTCTGACAGGATAAATTACAAATGGGCTGTCACAAGACTGCAAAATACACTCAAGACAAACTTTATCACTGAGGAAGGTCAGGATAAGTAAGTTTTTTTGTTTTTTTTGATTGATTAATTTTATTTTGGTTTTTCTTGCATTGTTCATTAACTAGTACAGGACCATAGTATAGGGCCAATATTATTGCAGCTAGAAAACTGATGTACTTATTCATATTGAGGAATAAAAAAAAATAGGGGTAGTACATTGTTTTTTTCATTTTCAAAAGTGACTGTACTTACTTTTTTGAACCCTTGCGTTTTCTATGCATTGTGGTGTGTCCACCTTCATATGCTATCAAACTTATCAAAGTATATTGAGGCAAACTGTAAAAATAAGCCAAAGTCCTGCTCCACTATAACAGTTTAGTCTTTTGCTAAATGGTTGCAAGGCAGTGTGATGGCATAATAATAATAAAGTAGGTGAAATGAAAATAATGTAATGCTTTTATAGGTTTTATAGATCCTTTTTGGTCTTTCTTTGTCTTTCATTTTTTAAAATTTGTATTACAAAATCATTTTTCTTTTTCTTTTGCCTTTCTGGTATTTTGACAAAACTAGTCTACATGCTAAACATATTCTTACAGTTTACAAAATCAGACCCTGACTGTTGTAAGATGATCTTTTTTTCCCAAGACGTAAATGTAATCCTGTCCTATTCAAACTAGTAGCACAAATAATACAAGGAAGACTTACTAAATTTGTTTCCTAGTTTGTCCTCCTCATGGTGGAAACCGTCCTTCAGTAAAATTAGAAACCACAGTGACAAGAGCAATCCAAGAGTCTGTTTATAAGCCTTTCTTTAATGAGAAATGAAACGCTCTTTAAATGACTGCTTTAGTTCCCAGTCAGGCTGCCATGTCTGCCCATTCACCTTTCAAGTCCCTTCACAGTGAGTTGTCTCTGAAATGTATCGGGAAAAACTATTATTACCACAGACTTTAAGGATTAACACTTTCAAGTGTGTTCTCTCTTTTCTGAAAGATGTCCTGTCACTCACCCAGTTTGATTTGTACAGTTTGTGGTCACATCTCACAAAGAGCTGACGTCCTCCTTCAAGGGGAAAGGCTTTGTATGAAGTGGAGGCAAATCTGAGCTGCTTGATGAGAAAAGACAGCAAAGCAAAGGCAGTTCACTCTCATCCATGGTACCCTTACAAACTGCCAGACAATGCACCCCCACTGAGTTTGCTCAGTGGGGGTGCATTGTACATGCAATATTAATACTGCATGTAACCAGTTTGTGATTTTCCTGTAAGACTCCACAGCCAAGATAAGATTTCAATTCAGTTCAGTTTTATTTATACAGTGCCAAATCACAATAACAGTTGCCTCAAGGTGCCTCAAGGTGCTTTATATTGTACAATAATAAAAGATCAGATTTATTTATTTAGTGCATTTAAAACAAAAACTGTTGAGCAAGGTGCTGTACATTTAAGATAATCAAAAGAGATAAAAAGATACAAGGAAAACAGAAAACCCCAACAATTGTACGACCCCCTGAGCAAGCGCTTTGGTGACAGTGGGGAGGAAAAACAGGAAGAACCCTCTAGCAGAACCAGGCTCAGGGAGCGACAGCCACTGGGGCTGCGACTGATTGAGGTGATTGGAGGAAGACTGCACAAAAGACATGCTGTGGAAAAGAGTCAGCGAATAATAATAAGTAATGATTAATGCAGAGAGGTGTAGAGACGCACTGGGATCGAGAAAGACGACTGAGGAAGATATGAAGATGAAGCGCTTCACATCAGGATCAGTGACCATGGATGTTGCATGTTGTCCACGCACAATCTGTTATCTCCGTGTTGGTGTTCTTCCTGCATCATCATCAACATTGCAAATGGCCAGTGATGTTGTCTGAGCTTTCAATTAGCATTAGCCGAGAAGTTAGCTAGTGCATTTGAAAATTATCACTGGCAAACCCGCTAGGAACACAAGTAACTTAAATTTTGCTAACAGCAAACCTAACTTGATAATATACTTATTATATTGTATAAATTATTAAAGAAAACACTTAAACTGCTTATCGCTTGCTCCAGAAGTGAGGCTTTTCTATTGCAGAGCTGTGGCATCACAACAGGTAACTTTACAAATCCCTTTGTACATGTTTGAGCCTGAATCTGATCCCACATATGCGAGTGAACACAACAGAAGTATCCTGCAGCAACAAAGATTACAGCCAAAAATCTCAGCTTAGTAAACGATTCACTCATTACCTGCTTACTGTGGGACATGTGCCTTTTAGAAAATCTGTTAATAACACACATGAAAATTTTATGTAGGAGGCTTTCTTTACATTAAATACTTGCTTCAGGCCATTCAGCTATTTTTGTGTTGGATTGATTTTAGTACTTTTTAGTGCCAAAACAGTCATAATGTCAGTAAATATGGACTTCAATGCAGGACTCACTAACAGTTTAACAGGTGAGTGCACTCTTTAAAGGGGTGACGCAGTGATTTCTGCTGAAGAGGAGAGATCAAGCTAGAGATGGGTGAGGGTTACTTTGATTGCATGAAGTCATGTAGTCTTGGATTGATTACTACAGCAAGTTGAGGGGAGAGAAGGCTAGAGAGGCAGGTGGGTGACAGGGAAGTGTTTCTCTTTTAGCATAAGTAAACTAGCTCAGGGATTCAGATGAGTAGGATTTGTAGGAGTCAGCTTGAGTTTTTTCCAGCGACTATAACACCAAACGACTAGTCGGCAAGAGGAGAGAGAATAAATTGGTAGCCTTGTGTTGCAGCACCACCACTGAGCAGGCAATGATCTGGCAGAGAGTGCAGGTTCTTTAAATACTGCAGATTAAACGAGCTGATGGCAAGGCTGATCTCAGGAAAAAGCTGAGGAGCCAGCTCACTCCAAACCTGAGAGGAAAAAGAAGCAAAGACAGAGAATCTTCTATTGTCCAATTTTACTGAGCCCATGCAAATTATGGTTTTAGTTTCCTGTTTTCTCTGATTTCGAGAAAAGTAAGACTTACATTTAATCTTTTTTCCACCACAGGTCTATCTGTATGTGAAGTATGCCTCAGGGCCAGAGATCAAATTCACCATATTTAAATTTCACTTTAAAAAAATGATCAAAGCTTTCCTTGTTTTCTGTTTAAACTCATGTTAAAATAGAAAATACCTAATCTCAGTACACTCTTTCAGAGATTGTCTCAGATAATGTAAAGATTGTGATACCAATAGACTGCACTGTAAATAGTAAACAAAAGAACTATGAGTTGAAACAGCATGACCCGCATTATTTTCAGGCTTTGAGTGTCTGTTTATGTTTTTGTGTATGTGTTCCTGGAGATATGTAGCTGGAATGATTGTAGCTCAAATAGATTATTCGCTAATGGGAGATCAGTGGTTTGAACTTCCTTCAGTCCAGTATACTAATTACAATTTATGCCAAATAAATGACTTCACTGGAAGGAAACTTCTCTAAGTGGTCTGGAGTTCAACAACTCCCACGTTATCTGGGACTAGCTGCCATGGTGAATTAAGCTCATGAGCAGCGCCAGAGTGCTGCTCTCAGTTGAACAAATAAAGAATTTTACACCATATGTATATATATTTTGAAAAACTGCTTTAAGACAAAATGAGGTCAAAGGTTGATGCTGAATCAACCTAAGGAAACATAAAGAAAAATTTCTGGTCAACATTTTCTCCAAGCCAACGTTAGAGGCTGGTGGGGAGTTGGGATTTGCTCCTACAGTAGGTAGGTTGCGTCTTTTTGTTCCAGATAAAAAATGGCTAATGCTCACTTGCTATTAACATTATTTTCAGAACAGAAACATTCTTTTATTATTATCTCAATGATGTCACCCCCTTACAGTCCATCATATGCAGACTTTTAGAACCATTT